GCTGGGTGCGTGTCAGTAACACCCTCTGACATGAGGGCGACGCGCTACCGAGCCGTGCCTTGAGGACCGCGATCTCGCTGTCGACGCAACTTCCCAGCTCGTGTTGGTAGAGGTCGGATCATGGTTCTCGAGTCCATACGAGCCCTATGTCCCATGTAGAATGGGCGTGTCTCATCGTACCGAGCCTGGGTAATACCGAAACTTTCTGATTCGTCGGTGATAGATCTTGGGGCTTTGGGCTGTTTTCCTAACACATGGTGTGCTGGGCTAAATCCTTGATGCCTTGACAACTCATTAGATTTGTCGCTGCGACACACTCAGCTAGCACAGCTACCATCTCCTCAATATTGGATGGGTGAGTCTCTTGGATTGTCTTTCTTAGCAAAGCCTTGATGATGCCGCCGTGGCGTTCTACTTTGCCAATTGTGTGTGGAGATTCCAAATTCTAATGGAGAATGGCGATGACGTACTCAGTGTTGGGCCAAGTACTGCGCAAAATCTCCCTTAGAATGCGTGCTTCTGTCGGTGATAGTATTCGGCGGATGCCCCGCCCAAGAGGTCCACCTATCTGTTAACCCCTTCAGATATTGCCTGGAACTATAGATTTCCTCCTCCAGGTTTGACATTGGCAACTTGCTGGAAACTCGTTCCTTCATCAACTATGTTGACAGCTGTATCCCGTGAAGTCCTTGATTTCTAAGCAATCTATCCCTACCCTGTGATTGAGCTCCTTTGGATAGATGGAATCGCCTTAAACTGAGTGACGCCTCGGTACGGGGGCAGCATCTAGACGGGCTTTGCAACGGTGCAGATGGACTTGTTTCATAACCTGAACTAGTACCGCTCCGGGAAGATTGCCGAAGGCACGGTGAAGTCGCCTGATGGCTACTCGAGTGCGCTGCGGCAAAGCTCGCCGTGCAGCACATCGCTCAGCCTCGGTGGCTGGGGCGCCGGGAAAGGGCATGCTTTCGAGCATAAGCTGCTCTCTCTCTCGGGGTGAGTGCGCCACCATCATTATCGGCTTCCTTGTTTTTGTACGACATTATAACATCTGACACTAGCTCCTCCTCCTCACGATCGATGTCCTGGTCTCTGATAAAACATGATCGCGTGAGCGAGTCCAATTACTTACTCAAGTATGGAAGGCTACCCCGCCGTTAGGTCGTCCATGGTCGCCCCCAGTTAAGAGTGAGTCTAGTACAGGCAGTGTAGAGGCGTCATGTCCCCGCAACTTCGCAGATCTGCAGCTTCCGCTATAATGCGTGACAGTCCACTGCCCGGGAGCGATACGGTTTTCAGATTCGGCCAGCATAAGGGTCTAACTTACGAAAGGGTACTTTACACCTACCTGGCTTATGTCCTTTGGGGCCAGCGTGAAAAATGCCCATCGAAGCTCCGAGAGGATTTTCTGAATTGGGTTCATGAATATTTTGTTGTTGTGGATCGGACGTGACTGAGGGAGCGCCCTATTAGCCACCAGACCCGCCTGAACCAGAGCAGCCAGCAGCATCGTGATCATTTTTCCAGGCACCATGCCGGGAAGGTTGCAAGGAGTTCAGAAAGTCGGTCAGTAGCGCGTGTATCGATATGCGGACATGCAAGAAATGTGGATGGGTCCCCCAAACAAAGAAAGAGAAACCGGTAGCTGAGCCAACCACGTGTTTGCACTCCTCCACCGAAAGGACAGGGTCTAGCAAGAAGTTTAGCCGGCTAAAGTGTGTAAGCTGTGCGGAATGTTGTTAGACGAACAGCCCCAATAAGAAAGGAAAGCCCAATCTGACATAGCATCAGCGGTGAAAGAATCCAATACGATAGTATTTGGTCTTCTGCGGTCAATAGTGAGCCGTAACGAGTGATGACCTTCCCATAGAGGTAGTGGTTCCAGCAATCGAACAGTTTCGCGAGACAGTTGAAGGGCATTTTGTCACGGAGCCCTTTATCACGACAGGCGATTTGAGTGCCCACCTTCAAGAAGCCAGCCAGGAAGGCGTTTGCCCACCGTGACACGTCGCGGAAGTTGTTCCACTTCTGCCAGGTTTTTGCTACTGCTACTTGTGCTGTCTGTACGGCAAAAAGGTTTTTGCTGCTGCCACGCCCGCGTTTTTTTGACGTGTTTGCGAAAAATCTCTGTCGCGGTTTTAACGTGGTTTCAACGTACCCTCGCCGATGTTGAACAGGTGCTCGAGCCAATCGAATGTCCCCCCGACCCGACACTCGCAGCTTGCGGCATTATCGCCAACAGCCGGGCAGGCCGGCTGTTCAGAGTTAGCGCTGCGATTTCGAGAATCCATGCAGGCCAACATAGCGACACTTGCGAGCCACAGCGCCTTCTTCGTTCGAACTTGCAGCCTTTCCCAACCTTCGCCAGCCGTTTTGTACCAGTGGCGGGTGAACATCCACATACCTCGATCAAAAGTATGAGACGCGCTTACTGATTCGGCCTTGTCGTCTGAGCTCGAGCTTCGGGCTTGCGTTTGTGCCAGCGAGATGTCACATGGGCTAGTGATTGAATGGATTTCCGTAGGGCCTAAATGCACGCATGGACATGCAGCTTGGAGGCTTTGTTGAACCAGCAGCTGGAGTTGCGCAGAAAGCTAGACGAGTTTGCAAGGCCCTCGTTTGACCACAGGTTTGTTTTGCAGCACCCTACCGGTTTGTCAAAACGCTGATGCAGGAATGCACATATGCACAGAGCCCATGCTACAGAGTGGCACGAAGAGCTTGAGATGCTCGAAAGGCACCAGGCGCATTGCTCGTCACGGCACTTGTAGAGTATCTCATGTTAGTCAACGCAGCAGGCCCTTGCAGCTGACCAAGTGGATGTTCTGGACAAAGCGAATGTGCGCGTGATGCTCAAGTGTGGTTTGCTTGGCAGAACGTGTCCATCATGTTTTTTTTCATTTTCTGTTCCCGGGGGCTGTGGAGTTTTTCATGTGGTCGTGCTAGCAGCGAATGGCGATTTTTCTCGCTTGATTTTCAATGCCATCCATGTAGCCATGGTGCCGTTGGCAAACGGTCCGACAGACTGCGCCTTGTTCGAGTGCTCCGGGTGAGTTACTTTTTTTTGCTGCATGGTCTGGTCGCAAGAGCCTCAAGCTCAAATGCGAAGCCGCCGATGTGGGGTGTGCATGCAACAGAAGCACCAGGCTGGACGGAAGAGCCTTCATGAGGGTTTTGCGGGTTCACTGTGACCTAGCGTCCGATTCAGCCAAAGGGCATCTTGGGACGTCCCCAAAATCCATCAACCCTATGCAAAAGCCCTGAGCGGTTAACATCCTAAATCCCCAAAACACAAAAAAGCGAAATCCCCAATTACTTAAGACTTACATACTTTGAAGCTGAAGACGTCAAACACTTCAAGCACCAACAAGCCAAAGCTTTGGCAACCTTAAACGTTAAGGAAATCAATCTTCGGAACACCATTAAACAATGTACGCTTGAAGCCTCAATCGAGAACCCTCGCTCAGAAGCCTAAACCTGAAAGAAAGCGCACCGTCGGGCAAAACTGCAGGTGCACCTTCGAATAAACACACCTTGACGGCGACAAGAGCCTGAAACCTGAAACTGTCGGCCTGGCTATGGGCGATCTCTTGAAAAGCATCCCCAATCCCTTGGCTCTCACGATCACCAAGACCAAAACATACCAAGACCCTAATCGCCAAAACCCAAAGTGGGAGACCCTTCCACCCCAGAGCGGAAACCCTCAACTCCTAGAGTCCTAGAGTCCTGGAGACTGGGAAATCGGCGGAGCACCGGGCTTCCCGCTCGCTTTTTGTCGCCATGTCGGGCGTGAATTCCTTTGCCCGCATTGTTACGACGGAGGGCCGTCGCAAGCGTCGCAAGGTGGTCTTTTGCGGCCGTGTGCCCACATCATCTCCAGCGTCTTGTGCTACCCTGTTGCAGCATAGAAGAGGGAAGGAATAGCGAAGGGTGCCAGTAGTGAAAAGATCCTCCGCTTAGTCCGTTAGACGGCGAACAGTGTAGTTACCGCTGCGTGCTCCGAGGTCTGAAAGGCATCGCGTCCGAGCACCTGCAACGGCTTACCAGAGCCGAGGCTCCGCGAGACTCGGCGGTGCTCAAGGCGTTTTGCTCGGAATGTCAGGCCCGCATGAAGAAGCTTGAAGCACGACGTGTTCAGACAAAGTCAGAGGCCTGGCAGCAGCAAAAGCGCAACCCAGACCAGACCGCAGGTCCAGGCTGAGGCCTCTCCAGCGGTATGGTTGCTGTCTTGCTTCGCCACACATCTCCGAGCTCTCCCTGAAACTAGCTTATGCAAATGTCACCCCGAAAGTTCAAGCGAAGACTGGCATGATCTGTAAGCCTGAACTTGTGGTTTTTCACGCTTCTGATGGCAACTGGGTCATCAAGGCGTGATGCTTCTTGGAGATGTTATCAGTCATCAGCATTCTGATGCAGGTGGCGAAGCTTCAGCAAGAACTGTCTCAACAGCTTGAGGCCTTCTGCAACAGTTGCACCATGGCACAATGTGGCGCTCAGAAGTGGATCTTTGTGCCCAGCTATAGGCCAAAACAATGGAGGAAGAAGTGAGTATGGCACGAAAGGGCAACTCCAAGACGGCAAGTGCAGGCGCATCGAAAGCGCGAGCCAAGCAGATCCGCAAAGGATTTGAGCAAAGCAGCCGGACTGCTACATACACGAAAGAGAAAGAGGAGATGGAGGAGCCAGCAGGAGAGCAAACGTCGCAGGTACGAATCCAAGACTTTGCTGAGGTGCGAGCCGTTGGTTGCAGCTTCGACGTGCTGAGGTCATTCTGCTTTTCTTGCTCGTGCTTGTCGTTGCGGTGGGCCCCTACTTCTTTGCGCAGCTCTTGGACTGATGAGCAGAAACAGGAACGACGCAATGCCTGCCAGCGCACAAGGCATCTCTTCCAGCTTTCTCCTGCCCCACCGCCTCTCATCAGAGCGTTACTCACAGGTTATCTCACAAAGCAGATTACGTAAAGAACAGACTCTGCAAGACTAGGCCCTTTAGAAGGCAGCATGGAATGGGATGGGGCGGCTGCTGCGCTGCCTCTTCCCTCCAGAGGCCCTCAGGGGCCCACAGGATTCTTCTCGCTCCGGGCCTCCCCGCTCGCTTTTTCAGCGAAGCAAGGACGAGCCCTCTGCTCGCCAAGCACCAGCACCTTGCCAAGCCGGCAGGCTCTGCTCAGTCCGACTCGGAAGGGGAGCATAGGATCGTGTGAGACAGGCTGACTGGTCGAAACGGGGATGGTCCAGGCCTGTCCTTGGTGCTCGTTTTGACCGCTTCGGCGCTTGTGTTTTTTTTTTTCGCTGGTGGAGATGTTCAGGACGCGGCCGCAGCCTGCGCTGAGCGTTGCCAGTCTGGCGGTGGCCCCCGATGAACACAGAGGCTAAGTAAAAGGTACGGCTTGTGTGGGCGGGCGGTGCAGGCGGTGCAGGCGGTGCAGTGGCGGAGAAGCCATGCTCGACGGACCCAGCGCAGGGCAGGCGGCCCAGGGCAGAGCCCCGGCAGACCGAGAGACCGGCTCGCCAGGTGACACGGGCACCCCCGCCACGCCGAGCACCGCGACAGAGGCGCCGGAGGCGCAGGAGCTCGTCTCCGAGTCCTTAGAGTACCTGGAAGCGGACCAAGCGGACGAAGCGGACGGAGAGTCCGAGAAATCGGCCGAGCTGGCTCGGTCCCCGTCCGAGGCTTCCCGAGACTGCGAGCAAGGTTTCGGCTGCGTCTCTGCGTACATTGGCAGGCACAGACGCTGGTGAAGCAAGGCAAAGTGAGGAATGCCCACCTGGTCGGAAGCCAAGTTTTGATCCACGTTGTTGTGTCGTCCTGAGCTGGGACGAAAGGTCGAGCCCCCTCTGCCCGAAGGCATCCGCGCGTATACCCCAGGTGAAGGCCCGCAGCCGCATGGTTTAGGCCGTTTTTGGCCAACGTTCTGGTGGGTCTCTGGCAGGATATGGGTCAAATGCAATACCCTTCGCTGGTGTGTCGCCGAAGACCTCCAAGCGACGCAATGAGGGCAATAGAATGAAGGCCACCATGTCTGGGAGTTTCCGTCACAGCAGCACGGTGAAGATGGAGAGGCTATTGAAATGCTCGAGCGGGCGAAAGAGGTTTCAGACCGCAAGAAAGAGGCCGCGGCAATCTCCAAGCTTTGCTGCTTTGCTTCCTGTTCCAGACTGAGCCATGCAAGGAGCTTGCCACGCGCAGAAGTAGGGCACCTTCGCCTCACGCTGAGACATGACGTCGCTTGCCTCGCCCTCCGCTTCGATCGTTTCGCATGTTCCGCAGCAAGGCAAACAGTTCCTGTGCCACGAGACCTTTTTGCAGAGCTGCAAGAGAAAGGATGGCACTTTCCTGAGAATGGCCAACATGTGGTTCCCTCGTGACAGCGGCGCAGCATGGCAAGGTTAGAAGCACTGGGTGCAAGTGGCCTCTATGTGGACGTGGAAGAGCCGGGTGCAGAGCCCCATCATGCAAGGCCAGGCCTTCTGGACTAGCAGTTGCCGTGGGAAGCTTCGGACTTCTTCAAGTTTTCGAGTGTTGGGACATCTAAGACATGTCGGTCTTTTGGGCTCTGATAACTTGAGACCACCAACAATTACCCAGTGGTTTCCTCAAGTTCGCTTTGCAGCGAAGAAGTTGCTCTGTCTTGAAGTTCATTCCGTAGATGTTTCCTCCTGCTGTGTATAGCATGTTTCCGCCCTCGAGGTGGATTCAACTGAGTATCTCGGGCGACGAGGAGGAGCAAGTTCGAGCAGGCACACGGTCACACAAATTAAATGCATGCTGCATCATCATTCGAAGTCATCGAGCGGAGGCGTCCTCAGGCTGATGTCATTAATGGTGCCGCGCCGAATGGGATCCGGTTCTGCGTGAGCCTCAACTGACCCCTGGGAGTCCTGACATGTCACCGCCTTATGTGGCCAGGCTTGACCTTGCCCGCGTGAACTGAGCCTGTGCGAGAAAGATCAAGAAAGCGCAAGTCGCACTTCAGGGGCTCTATAGCTCTCTAATGCCTGTGACACCTGCGGCTTCAGTAGTCGGCCTTGTGAAGCATGGAAAGAGCCATGTCGCGCGACATGCTGCGAGCTACGAGTCATGAATGCCTACGGGCCCCAGTGCAGTCGAATCAGAGTCCAATAAGACACACCAAGACACCGCTCAGACTTAGAGTCTTAGAGTCTAGTCGGAACAGTCAGATGGAGCCCGGTATCGCCGAGCGATGGGCATGAGCCAGGTGCGAAGCGAGCCCGTCTCTCGGCCAATTACGGTAGCTGTCCCCATGCACATGTTGCTTGATCCGTTCTCAGTATCTGTAAGATTTTGTCCTCCCGCCCCGCAAGCTTGTCTCGCGCATTTTACCGGACCGGGCGTTTAGGTCCCTTCGAAACTCAGGAAAGGTTCCCGCTCTGCACACGGTGCGGATGCCGCGATGAGCCAAGAAGCGGCATTGTGGAGCTAGACGTGGAGGAGGATCCACCTGACCTACGACGAGAGAGACGCATCCAATCGTCCGCACAGCCCGAATCGCCTGCCTTCCGTGCGCCTCCAGCAGAAGTCCGAGGTCCTACGGTTTTCGAGCTGGAAAATGCCCTGACGCCGACTGCTGTGACAGCGCTGTGAGACGTCAAGCCGGAGCTGCACTTCGAGCCTCGCAGCGCCAGCGCCTGCGGGGAGGTCGTGGAAAACCTGCATTCTTGTACAGTGCGTTCTTCCGCATCACGGGGCAGTAATGCGATGTTGGGCCAATGTAGGGAGAAGAGGCACATTAGCCTCTTTGTTCGCTTTGCTTTTCTTCTTCCGAGCTGGGATCTACGCTTACAAGCTCCTACTGCAGGCGTCTACAGTCATCTACCCACTTCTTGGCATGATGCATGATGCGTCTTCGGCAACAGATAGAGGACAAACGGCACAGGGCTTGTGCTGACTTTGTAGGTACAGCTGCATGGACGCTGCAATCCCGAAGCTGTTTACAACGGTGGACCGGAGAGTAGCAACAGACTGTTGTCGGCTCGCGAAGTCTCAGTGCTAACTGGCACGATGCCACGATGTGCAGGGGCTCATGTCTCATAAATGCTCATAGCAGTCATAACATCGAAATAAAGTCGCCAAAGCTGTGCTCACAAATATTCATCAGTATATATATATATATAAAAATAAATAAATAAATATATATATAATATCATACATATATATATATATAGTTAAAAGAACACGACCCCAGAGACCCAACAGAGAACTTATAGTTCAGTAGTCAGAGCCTCCTTTCAGAGACCTGCTTGCGGACAATTTGGCTCAAGGAAAAAGAGTCAACAGGGCTTCATAGATGCCCTGGTTCTTTAGGGGTTCGGCCGGGTTTGAGTACCTTCCTTCCCCTTTGATTTATATATATTTACATTATACATACATACATACATACATGCATGCATGCATACATACATGCATACATACATACATACATACATACATACACACATACATACACTTTCACTTTCAAGGCACGGAGTCCAGGTCGGACGCAGCCTAAGACGTGCAGTGAAAAAACGTGGGAGGTGGCGCAGAAATCTCTAAACAGAGTATGCGCTGACCAGACAGGGGTGGGATGTAACCAGCAAGCGGAAAAGCTGTCCCATCCCCACAACAAAATCAAAAGATGGCACATGGACGATGCGTTAAAATGCACGGTAAACAAGGATGCGTTGTATTCCGTAGTCGACGATCAAAGCACCAGACAGTATACAATCCACATATCGGACCTAAGTAGTGCAGGATCTTCCTCATGGGTATCAGATGAGGCCATCCCTACACGGTGAGATACCCAGGATGTCTAAATACCTTCATCGAGGTGATATCGGAACATCAAACTCAACAATAGCATGGAGGCCATAAGACTTCCACACTCAAATATAAAGCGCTCTAGCATCACTCGCTTGTCGAGCTTCTGCTCTGCTTGATGCCGCGCAGCTGGGGAGCTAACATCCTCTTGAAACCAGCCGCCGACTCCTCCATGTTGCAGTGTGCGAGTGTGTCCTCCAAACCTTGTGGTGATCCAGATGCCCTCGCCTGTCTGCTCTGTTTGATGCCGTGCAGCTGGAAAGCCAGCATCTTCTTGAAGCCGAGCGCTACGGTGAAGTGTGCGAGCATGTCCTCCAAACCTATGTTCAACATGGCCACCTTGCCGAATGTGTCCTTCGAGCCCATGAACGCCTCCACGTCGGGTGAAGTGCATGAGCTGCCAGGTTGCCGCTTGGTGATCCAGATGCCCTCGCCTGACGAGCCTCTGTTCTGCTTGATGCCGCGCAGCTGAAGGGCCAGCGACTTCTTAAAGCCAGTCGCAAACGCCTTTGCCGTGTAGTATGCGAGCATCTCCTCCGAACCAATGCTCAACATGGCAACCTTACAGCCCATGATCGCCATCATGTTGGGTGAAGGCAAAACCTGAATGCCCAGCTCGTGCATGGCACACTTGCCGTTATGCATTGCTAGCCCGTAGCCGGCAGACGCACCCATGGCGGGTGCTGGGGCCTGCAATATTCCTGCCCTGTGCAGGCGATTTGGGCCCTACATACATACATACATACATACATACACATACATATTGTATAGAGATAGAGAGGTAGATAGACACATGGTGTTTAAGTCACTTGTCTCTCTGCCGGCGTGTGACGTCATGGTCTCCGACGGCTTGCAGGCAGGTTCCAACTGCAAGCCCGTGTTTTTCCACCACATGCTGTAGCTCCGGCTGTCTCCGGCTCTTGGTCTGTTGCATTTTGGGCTGGGTTATCACAATGAAGGCCTCTGGGGACCACGGAATGACTTCATTTTCCGCAGAGTGCCAGCACCCGAGACTAGACACAGCTCTGAGCAAAGTACGCAGAGACCGAGTGCACCTCACAAGTTCTCTTCGCTCTATCAAGGCACCGGGATATCCTTTGATGTACCAGGCATGGGCGAGGAGCTCCTAGAGATCCTGCTGCGCGGTCTGCGATGCACGTCCCACATGACCTCTTTTCAGCTCTGCCTTGGTTGCAGTATCCAGAGGACGGAAACAGAAACAAAAAAAGCCGCACCCCAAACTGCAGCACGAGTGCTCTGTCATCTGTCATATGGAGTGGAGGTGTGTCGGCTTGGTTTGCAGGGAAGTGTCTTCATCCGCGTGTTGTCTTCCTAGGCTTCAAGCCGTACCACTCGAAGACAGTTCCTCGATCTTCAATCCTCGAGGCAGCATAAAACAGTGGCCTGTCTTTTGGGTCAGCTCTAGTTTTCCAAGGCTGCCCGCGGCGACGAGCCAGTAACCACATTGCTTGGCACCCACCATTTGCAGCTTCCAGCACCAAACGTGGACAGCTGTCCATTACAAAGGATGCTGAGAAACATCCCCAACAAGTACACGCAGAACAGCTTGATGCAGGCCTCAATCGTTCTCAGAATTGCTGTTGAGATTTATTAGCGTTTTAGGAGATTTGCGCACGTGGTTTCCGTGGTGCCTTTGACTTCTTCTACCTACCAATGGCCTGGACCCCAGCATCCTTCGACGGCTTGCCTGGCGTTGCTTTCTTGCAGGGTTTGCAGTGTCCTTCATTGTCCATCAACGTTGCTGTCATGCGAGGACGTGCACAATCGAAGCAATGTCGCTTACGCCTTCTTGAACTTCATTTCTCCGAAAGAGGCCGCAGGACTAACAGTGACCAGCCGGACGGCCTGGACCCCTGCCCCCACACATTTCCATGCTTCTTGGCAGGCCGAGAACTTCCGAAACGAGTTCCACGGTCGGCAGTTCCACAGGGTCAGAAGTCGCAAGGCTGGGCTGCTCGCCAAAGCTGGGGACCGGCGGGAACCGGATGAAATAAACGCGGAAAGCCACTGGACGCCAGTGTGCCCATCTGAATCTGACTCCAAAATATTGTCAGACCTCCTACCAGTAGGACTTGTGCAAGAGACATACGTTTTTCTAAAGCTGCCCCTCGTCAAGTGTGTAAGCAATGTGGCTGCTACAGTCTACCACCCAGCACAGCTCCTATCACTTCACAGCGCCGCTTCGCACAGCCGGCAGCCCACCACATCTGCTTGCGTCGGTTTGTGCAACTGCCACTCGGTTTTGCTGCCAATCCCTCCTTTCTGTCTGGATGATTTTGCTGCACACATTGGTGTAAATGCAGCCGCTTGGCAATTCCAGTGCCAATGTGCGACTGCTCATGTTGTGGACAGCGCACTCTTTGAAGGCCATGCAGATTAAAGCCTGCCGGCTGTGGCTCCCCACTAGTGCAGAGCGTGCGCTGTTGCTTTGGAGCAAGTGCAAGATAGAGCTGAGCAGGTGGCCGCGGTTTCCAACGCCCATCTACAAGGTGTTTTTGTCCTGGGGAGATGCTCCGCATTCGTCAGGTTTTGAATTCATCTGCCGTTGACGCTGAGCGGAGGTCTGGAAGCGAACCTGCAGCATTTCGAGCACCGGGTCGTGCTTCTGTCTAGGCGCAAAAAGGGAGGAAATCGGCATTGCTGTGAAGATGCTCACATGTGGAGCTGCAGAGCCATGCTTGTTGGTGTTGTGGCTTGGATATGACAGCATTGCATGTGTTCCCAGTGCACCAGCAGTCAACGACTCGGGAAAAAGCGTTGCCGCCTTGGAAGGAACGATCAGTATCGACCAGTTGTTTTCCGGAACGGTCAACGAGTCAAGTTCGAGGATGCGTTGAACGAGGCACGGTGCAATGAACCGGCGCACCCAAGATTCTTGGCCGCGGGGCAGGTTCGAGCGAAGCAGCAATCCGCTGTGGCAACTGCCACTTTGGAGTCATCAGCCAAGGCCGACACGGGCCAAAGGAGCTTGGATTCTCTTTCAGAGGATTTGAGAACTGCTTCGCACAAGTGCCGGATGGTGACGAAACAGCGTTTGGGAGATTTTGGGAGGCTTGCCATGCCGGTGCTCTGAGAGT